ATAATTGGGCCAAATACAGCCACGGGTTGGACACAAGAAACTGAGGCTAAATTGATGGGAGGGACAGTGGGGCACGACAGTTCCGACGCGTGAACCCTGCTGTTGTCGGGCCTGCCGTCGCGCCCGGAGCTGCTGGATGGGGAACTGATGCCCGACGACTCCTCGTGCAGGAATGATGGGCGTTTTCATATATTCCAAGGTGTGGCTCGCGGCGGCAATACGCCGAGCACGCTTCCCCAAGCCCGCCAAACGCTTCCTCGGTCGCGGCGTGATCGAGTGGCTGTATGCGGCTTACAATGAGAATTTTATCTCGAAGGAACGACCGTTGTCTCTCAGCCTGAGCAGAACGCGTCCTACCTTCCATTCGACTTGCCAGTGGATTATTTGCGCTTGAAGAGGAATTCGGGTTGGAAGTTTTATTCGCACGCCGTTGACATCAGCGGGCTTGGTGCCGCTCTCAATGCTGGCGTGTTCATCGCCTCCCAGGTGAGCGACGGCGGGCGAACGAATAACTGCAGGGTCTCAGAGATGCCCGCCGTGGGGGCATGCGCATTCGAAGACCCCTTCGCAGCGCCGTGGCAGTGCACCACCTACTCCTATGCAGCAGAGCTGTTTGGTGACGGATTGGCTTTCACATGCGATTTCCAGATGCTGGCTCCGCCGCCGGAGGGGGCTCTAAAGCAGTGGATTCAGAAAAGAACGCGCACTTTTGCTGCCCTCACCCTCGCAAGCTGGTGAGAAGTGCCCTCCGTCTCCACTTCGCTGCGCCGCCGCAGACCTGCGCCGAGGGTCTGTGGTTGCATCGCCCCAAGGTGTCTGCTGGCGACCACTTCGAGATCGACTTCGCAGCTGTAGTGGGCCCAGACCCTCTTCATTCAATGGGGGAATCAGGGGAGATTGAGCGCGAGACGGCCAAGGTGTCTCCCTGGAAGATCAGGGAGACGGCGGGGGTGGAGGGGGTCTATGACCCCACTCGACCTGAGCGCCGCCAGGCATAGCGAGGCGCGTCGGCGTCTCTCCAGTGCCCGGCAAAAGGAGCATATACAATATATTCGCAATGGTCCAGAGCTGCTCGTCGAGCATCTTCTCGAGTTCGCTCGCGAGAATGAGGCCCAATGGGCTGGGGCAAAATATTGGGGGCAAGAGCTGGAGACGGACCAGTCCTACGAATCATGCTCCGTCATCCCCAACCAGGAGAGGCTCTCTACATGTTGCGAGAAATCGCGGGTCGATCTGGCCGTTCTCGACCCAGCGAGAGTGGAAGCCGATGACCGATGGATTCACTATGCAGAATGGGGTTTCAAGAAGCATCGGGCTGCAAACCCTCAGCCCGCCGGGGGAGATGATGAGGGCGCGGGGCAAGTGACAGAGGCGCCCCACGACTGTGTCGAGGGCGCCCACGACGACTGAGGTCCGCCTATGCCCGAGAAAAGGCAGAAAAGGTCAAGAGTTCAGAAATCGCCTCGCGGAGATCAAGAGGGGCGACCTGGAGGACACCCACGGAGAGACTATGCTTTTCCGCCGGCGGGGAGAAATGCGCCAGCGGTCGAACTGGGGGCACTTGGGAGCGGCAGGCTTCAAGAGTGGGTACAGAGCGGATGCGAGATTTCGTTTCCCCCCGCGGAGCTATGCCCGACCCGTCTCCCAACTGCGCAGCGGCCTGATCCGCGGGGCAGTGTTATCGACCCCCGCCGACGGGGGAAACGCTACCGCTGACGAAGGGGTCCAGCGTGAAAGCTACGCAGGCTGCGGCTCGGATGCAGCAAGTGCACCTCTGTCTCCAGCTCGGATGCTACTGCGCGACGTGCAGGGAGGTGGGGGAAGGGTCCATGCTGAAGCCGGAGGAAATGTGCGACTTCTGTATGACGCCCAACACGGAACTGCACATTGACCTGTGCACCCCGCATCAGCGTGCGCGCAGCAACTGGACTAATGCCCATCGACGCAATGCTTCCCACAAGGTCCTAGCGCACGAGAAGATGTTCTTCGAGCTATGGTGCCGATCCGAGATTCTGGAGGGGGCAGGAGAGTTGAGTGATGACGGGGGCCGCGCGTCGGAGTCCACGACAGACCCGGTCGCGATTCGGGAGGGGGGAGATCAGCCGACCGTCGCGGACGCTGTGAGGGTGCTCGCAGCTATGCCACGGGCCCCCTCCCAACTCCGCCATCCCCGGGACCTGCGTTGCCTGCGCCGGTCAAAGCGCATCACGAGGGCGCGACCCCCACGTCTAGGCCGACGCCCGTCCCCAGGGCATCGAGCAAAGTGGACCTGGAAGCTTTCGACGATGAGCCACCTGCGCCTCCAGGCGTAGGCCGCCATGCCCAGATGACAATCGCGGCATTGGCCAAAGGAGAAGACGACGAGTCGGATGGCGCCGAGGACGACAAGGGCGGTGATGAGAAGCGCCGAGCAAGGGAGAGCACTGTGCCCAGTGTGCTCAAGCCTCAGCTAATTCCTCTTGGCGTTCTCTCCAACAAACTCCCCGAAGCATTCGCGTCGCGTTATTTCTGCCATGGCGGGGTCCCGGCTCCGCCCAAGAACCAGCAGATCTCGATGGGCGAGCTCAGGGTGAGGATTGCGAAGCGAGTGGGTGCAGCCTACCACGGGCTAGAGTGCGCGGAGAAGGACGAGTTTGGCGCCCCGCTCGTTGAGAACGACGACCCTGCAGGTTTGCTGGTCGCGAGTGTCGAGATGGCGTGGGAGCTGGAGGAGCACCGCGACTCCGGCCCCGAGACCTTCGCAGACAGGCAGAGGCGGGGCAGCGATTACCAGGAGAGACAACCTGGAGCTGCCCCGTGAACTGGTTGGCGATGCGCTACTGCAGCCCTTGCGCCACCTGTCCCCTGAGGACGGGGTGGGCGCGCGTCGGTTCCTGCGCGCTCGCTGCATTGCGGTCGAGCCCCACTGTCTCCCGAAGCCAGAGGATCACCTCATCCCCATGAACCTTGCCGGTGAGCAGCGTACGCTCGCGTGGTATTCGGAAATGGAGGTAGAAGAGGCTGAGCGCATTGTCTCGCTCATCGTTCACTTGGCGATGCGCATCGCGGCCCACGTTCGCAGCTCTGGTGAGTGGGTGGGTTGAGGCATCCGACATCGTCGAGATTCTGGGCGACGAGGGCTACGACAAGGCATGGGCACGCTTCATGCACGCTCTTGCCCACATGCCACGCTACAGATTTTAGATACTTGGCGCGCGCGTATCGGAAGCGGAAGTGGGTCCCACGACTAAGCCGGACGATTGGGGCGATAGCTTCGGGCGCGACCCACCTACCGACGACTGCGTCGTCGGGGGTGCGCCCATGGTAAAGCCTACGACCGTGCCTTTGCTGTTCCGCGCTTGCATGCAAGGGTCGCTCCGCTTGAGTTTTTGACCCCAAACGCATGCGCGTGAAGTGCGAGGCGGCAGCAAGGCGCTCCCACCGAGCAATCGTCATTCCACTGGACGCTGCCTCTCTGCGCAGGTCTATGACTGGGCAAGTTGTGGCGCCGCAAAGGGTCCTCCAGGGCGCGCGCCAGTGCCGCTTCTGACTTGCCTGCCGACCAAGCTTGGCCCGTACCCCCCTCCAAAAGGCGAAACCGTCAGAGAAGAAGAGCCAGCTCGGGGGGGGGCGATTCAGCTGGCACAGAGAGTGCGGAGCAGGCAATGCGGTGAAATTCGCGGTGGACTGCCCACGTGGCTGAGGCCTGGCGGCTGGGCTCTTGCAGTTGCTGGTCCCCAGCGGTTGCGAATGGCGCGCGCAGCCTGGCGGCGGGCGGTCCAGCGGCCAGACATTTGCAACTCAGCCTGGCCGTCGCCAAGGCGAACGCCGGGCGAGCGTTTGGAAATGCCGCTGGCGCGGCTCAAGACCGCCAGGCAGGCGCGCAGGCAGGCCGCTCAAGACATGCTTTCTACGAAGAACCGCAAATCGATCCAAGCGGGCGCAGCGGTGGGATCGGAAAACGAAGACGGAGGTGTAGGCCCAGGTTCTGCCAGGTCTGCATGGGCCGATGCTTCGCGAAGTGCCGGCACTGAGTCGGGTCGATGCGGCGCGGCGGCGGCGCTGGGGGATCGGCGCGGCGTCACCGTCATCGCCGTCGCCGCCATCGCCGCCATCGCCAGCACTACCACTCACCACCCAGTATAGATATATAGAGATCGGCATATAAGTATGGACACACACATGTATGGGGATAGATCGCAAGCTACATTTATGTATATGTATATGTATGTATATATATGTATATGTAAATGTATATGTATATGCATATGTAAATGTATATGTATATGTATATGTATATGTATATGTGGTAGCCCCCCCCACATGATCAAACATATTCGTCTTTACCGCGGCCGCCGATCGATATCTTCTTTCTCCGTTCACTTCTCATGTCTCTTCCTTTCTCTCCTCCTCCTCCTCCTCCTCTTCCTCCCCCTCCACCCCGTGCTATTCCTTTTCGGAATCATCGAAATCGTCAGAAACTAGAGAAAACCTTCAAACAACCAAAAAAAACGGAAACAAACATGATTCCTGGAGAATGTCTGGGAAGGCTGGCTGCCAAAATTCGCCAGAAATCATAGTTGTTTCGTTTGATGTTTAGAAGGTTTTCTTGGATTTTGGCGATTTCGCTAATGTCGCCTCCTCCTCCTCCTCCTCCTCAGTCTCCTCCTCCTCCTCCTCCTCCTCCTCCTCCTTGTCCACCCCCTCCCCCTCCTCCTCCTCGTCCTCCTCCGCCTCCACCTTCTCCCTCTTCTCCTCCCCCTTCCCCTTCTTTTTCTCCTCCTTCCCCTCTCCCCCTCCTCCGTTATGCCGCCGGCCGTCAGCATGAGGGTAGGTGCCGCAATTCCACCGATTGCTATCCAATCTGTCGCAACCGTTGCGTTGCTATGTTTCCAGGCGGAGCGCGCGCATAGAGGTCTACAAAAGATGGTGGTTCATACGTGCGCGCACGCATCGCACCGACTGCCATCGGCTACGACTGCGTCGCGCATCATGCGCGCTCGCGCGGCGCGGCCGCCTCCTCAGTCAGCCTCGCTGCGGCGCGCCGTCGCCGACTCATAGGGCGGCCCCCCCTCGTCAAGCACGCGCGCGAGCTCTGCCGACAGACCGTCGTCATCCTCGACGTCGATCGTTTCACCGTGGGCCGAGGCGGCAATGGAAGCGAAGATCGCCCTCTGCTCATCGGCATCCACGGGTGTCAACGGACCACCGCAGCCCATCATGAGCCCCCTCGCCCTCTTCACTGGCGGAGGCGAGGACAAGTCTTCGAACGCGCCGTGGTGCGCCTTGGCGAGGCTCTTGAAAATCGCGAGCTGCTCGTCCTGGTCCTCCTTGAGCTCGCCGCAACGCCCGGCGATGTTGGGCTGCGCGGAGCTGGCGGCGCGCGAGCTGTCTTCTGGCGGTTCGTCCATTCCGCCGCCGAAGCCGAACGCGTCCTCCTCCTGGGACAACTCGGTTGGCGGCTGGGAAAACGCCGAAGCGGCCGCGGCGGCTGGCGGAGCGCTGGCCGCGCCTGGATCGAACCCTGAAGCGTTGCCGACAGCGGAGACAACGCGCGCAGGGCCATCGCCGAAGATAGGAGCAACATGGGCAGTCGCAATCGTGGGCACGTCAAGGCCCGCGGCCACATTGCTCATGTACCCAATCGACCAAGCCATCTTTTCGGCGTAGTCTGAGGGGAGCGGGCGGATGGCTGGCGACGTCGTGTCCCTCACTTCGCTGACGAAGAGGTCGGGGCTCCTGGGGTTGGGCCACGGCATGAACTCTGCACCGTCCTGCAGGTTGGCGGATGCCACGTGCCAATGCACGCCGAGGTCCGTCACCGCGATGACGTGCGCCCTGGCGAGGGTGGCGTTGAAGTCCTCCCCTGTCCTGACATCTTCCAGAGACGGCGCGATGATACGCTTGAGCAGGTCGAGGCCGTGCTTGTTTAGCGTCGCGGCATCCAGCGCCGCCTTCTCCGCGTCGCGGTCGTAGGGGTTCGCGACGGCCTGTCTGCGCGACCCTTGCTCGAAAGCGCAGCCGCCCCACCGAGCCCACAGCAGAGCGTCCTCTTCCTTGGGGTTCAAGAAAGCCTTGAGCACATCAGCGGATACCTTCAAGCGGCCACGCGTTCGCCCGATCACCAACGCCACCGCGACTTCCACTTGGGAGGGCGATGCGGTGGGAAGAACCGCAGTCTCCCTGGAAGCCGCGGGCGGCAATGGCGTGGGCCACGCCAGGCCACCGAACCTTCTGAAGCAGGCCGTCGTCGAACATGCCAGGGAGAATCTCCGTCGTCGGCTCGCCCTTGAAGAAGTCCATGTGCTTCGCCGTCAGGAAAGCGATCTCATCGGCGGCGCCCTTCTTCTGTATGCTGTACGCCGAATGAACACAAGCAGGCGTCTTCGAACCGTTGCTCTTGCCAACTCTGGACTTCCCGACCCACAGCGCCCCGTGCATGTGGGGCGTGCCAATCATCAGGCGGAGGGCGCCATTGAGGAACCAGCCAGAGAAGTCCTTCAGCGTCAAACTCCAGCGCGAGATCGGTTTGGCATTCGTCCTGCCCTTCTGGTAGTTGTGCAGCGCAGTCTCCACCTTGGACGCAGGCCATCCGAATATCTTCGAACCCTCCCTGTTGACCTCTGTGTCAGCCCATTCCATGAACTGGTTCCTGTTATTGCTGCGGGGGCCGTGTTCGCGGATGAACGTGTAACCCTGCGCGCGCTCGTCCTCTCTTAGCGGCTGCTTCCGCTCGCGCTGCGGCTTGATCGTGAAGTACCTTGCGGTGGAGGCGCTGGATAGGCATACATTCGGTGAGAAGCCCAGGGGGTCCCGATCGCTGGGTCGCCACATATAGGGCGCTCAGCTCGTTTTGAAACACGGGGTGGGGGAATGCGCCTGAGCTGGGGCGGGCAGGTGGGGGATCCTTATCCGAGCGCGCCCGCCGCATTTGATAGCCCTCGAGCTTCTCCAGCATGAACTGGAACGCAATCGACCCCGTCCGAAAGTTTTTGCCGTAGTCGATTTTGTGGGCCTCTCCGCGAGCACACTTGAGGATGGTCGCAGAATCGATTTTTTTTTTTCTCGAAAGAAACGACCTTGCGGATGCGGTATGCCGAACACTCGCTGTCCTCTGGCTTCTGGCGAACAATGAAGACCTGCATCGTGTGCGGGACGACGGGCTCCTGCTTGAGCGACAGCGGCTCCTGCAAGTCCTTGAGCTTACCCTGTGCGCACAACTCGTGCACCTTGTCAAAGTCAATCGGGCCCTCGTAGTTGGATGCCACGTCGGCGACAGTGACCAACTTCGTGGCACTCGAATTCGCGATCGGTAGCAGAGGAAGGTCGAAGATAGAAAGGTCACCAGCGACAGCCAACCTGTCTTTCTTGACGCACTTCGAGGGGTGGTAGTCTAACATGCTACCGCTGACCATCAACGACGCCTCCTCAAAGGTGAGCTTGCCGTCTCCTCGGGCGTCGTGCGCAACCTGCCCCAGCGACTGCACCTGGTCAGCAGGGGCGCTCGCCATGATTCGTGGCGAGAGAAAGGCGGGTCGGGTGGTGGCCTTGGGTGCCTGGCAACAGCGCGCAAGCGCTGATCACAGACGGCTGCGGATGCCAGCTGAGCACCTGGGGAGGGAGCGACGACGACGAACGATGCACACTGAAGATGGAAGTAAGAAGTAAGAGAGCGTGGGCACGGCGACGATGAGTCAAAGATGTGGCACGGCTGCGGTGGGGACAATCAACGCGACGTCACTCACGCGCACTCGGGAACACATGCGCGCTGTATAAAAACACACCACTCGACATCGGCACTCCGTATTAAAAACGCACCCCTCGACATCGGCACTCAGTGCGCCGCGTCCATGACCTCCCAGATGGCATCCGCGGTGGCCGCCCACATATCCTTGCCCTTGTTCCAGTACTCGAACTGGGCCGAGCGAACCGAAGCCGCGATGCGCCTGCTGCCTGGGAGGTCCGTGCGCGTGCCAATGAGGGTTTTGATGAACCTCCAGGCGCGGTCGATGATCTGCGTCCCTGCCTTTACCCTGATCTTGGAGCCGTCGGGCAACTTGTGGGTGACAACCTTCGGGTAGACTGGCTTCAACCAAACCCGCTTCCTGCCGATCTTCTTCCGCTTCTTGCAGTGCACGGCGTGGTCGTGCACGGGCCCCGACGCGCACATCTTGTAGCTGCGGGCCCCGTCAGAGTGCCAGATGACCTTCCTGTTCCCTAAGCGGCTTTTTAGGAACGGCGCCCAATCCGTCTCCTTGATGGCGCCTGGGCCTGGCGCGTTGGCCTCGGTGCCGTCTGACTGGGTCTTCCACAGAACGAGGCTATCAGGGCGCCCGCGCTCGACGACGCCCGCCCACTGTTCCCGCGTCTTGGAACGACCGTCGTCGGACAGCTGGGCGCGGAAGACCGACTCATCCGCCTCCGCGTCGAACCAGTGCCGTTGAGCTTCGCCGCCGAAGACAACGTTGGGTTCGTTCTTTTCCACGTAGATCTGCCGCGCGGTTGCCGCGGCCGCGCTCGTGTCCTCGATCAACTTGTGGCTGGCACCTGTCAGCAAGTGTATCTGGGCGGTGGTCATGCCGAGCGTGCGGCAGAAGAGGACCTTGGCCTTCGTCGACAAACTCGACGATTGGCAACCCCCGCCAGACTTGAAGACGGGGTGGGCGGTGCACGGTTTGACGGTCTTGCCGCGCAGCCTACCGCTGTTGCATCGCCAATGCGGGCCGCGGTTGTCATCCTGCACCCGCGCGCCGCAGGTTCCGACGCCGCAGTGAGGGCAGGTGCGGCCTTCCCAGTCAAGCAGGACGCCCTCCTCGAGGGGCAGGTCTACCATCTGGTCCGCACCTTTCCCGTGGAAGCGGTCGTAGTTGCGGCGCCAGGTTTCGCGCTCCTTGCGGGATTTCACGGTCCTCTTCCCGTGGCGCACGTACTTGACCTCCTCCGCTTGCTTCCTGCGCTGGCCCATCCTGTCCTTGCCCCTCTTGCGCAAGGGGAACGGCCTGAAAGCACTCGCAGGCCGCTTCTTCGGCGCGGAGGCGGCAGCAGGGCGTTTGATAGCACGCTTTCCCATCGCCGGCGGTGGCAGAACGGTGGCCCAGACGGTCGGTTGAGAAGAAAACGCGCTGAGCCAACATGTGCTGCGGGTGGGGCTGGGGCCCTCCTTGTCTGGAGGTTCGTCGGCTTCCTCTGGTCGTGGCGGTGGCGCTGTCGGTAGTTATGGTAGGAGTGGTTGTAGTAGCAACGGTAGTAGTGGTGGTGGTAGTACTAGTCGTCGTAGAGCTGTAGCAGCAGTAGTTGCAATAGAAATGGTAGTGGTAGTCGTAGTAGAAGAACACAAATCCCTACGACGTCCGTATCAGAGAGGGCATCCTAAAATCAGGATGCCTTTTTTGTGCAGCAATGCGCTTGTTCACGTTAGACTGGACATGCTTGTCGGCGGCTCCATCGTCGCCTGCTTTTCTGGGTGGGTGGTTCGCCTTGTTGTCTTCATGTCATCATTGCACCGCTTTCCCTACGACGCCCGTGTCGGAGAGGACATCCTAAACTCAGGATGCCCTTTTTGTGCAGCAGTGCGCCTGTTTACGTTAGACTGCACCTGCTTAGCGGCGGCTCCATCGTCGCCTGCTTTTCTGGGTGGGTGGTTCGTCTTGTTGTCTTGATGTCATCATTGCACCGCTTTCCCTACGACGCCCGTATCAGAGAGGGCATCCTAAAATCAGGATGCCCTTTTTGTGCAGCAGTGCGCCTGTTCACGTTCGACTGATCATGCTTGTCGGCGGCTCCATCGTCGCCTGCTTTTCTGGGTGGGTGGTTCGTCCTGTTGTCTTGATGTCATCATTGCACCGCTTTTCCTGCGCGGCATCCTGCTGATGCCGTTGCGCCGCCCCTCCTGCCTGGCAGAAGCGCGTTCCGCCCTCCATTCCCCCTGGTCCGCCTCCTCCTCCTCCTCCTCCTCCTCCTCCTCCTCTTCCTCCTCCTCCTCCTCGGTCGCCCCCTGCTTTGCCTCTGGTCGTGCTCCCCGCCGCGCCGTGCCTCTCTTTTCCCGTTAGCGAGCGAAGCGTTCTTTGGCCTCGCGGCGGGCTCCTAGAGCTTTGCCTAGTTGTCCTGAGAAAAGCGAAGGATGGCCCTCAAGTGAGTGACCCTCCAAGTCGTCCAGTCCCTCAGAAGCTTCGTCGCCTTCGACACGGCAGCTCCTGGTCGCACACGCGCGAGAAAGGCCCGAACCAGGACTTCCAGGCCTTGAGGGCCTTCGCGTCTGCAGCTCCCTTCGCCTGTGCGTTCTCCTCGGCCGTGTTGCTCTCGGCCAGCTCCCTCGTCAGTTTTCGCGCTCGCGCCTGCGCGGGCGAGGCAGCAAGGCGCCCGAACAGACGGGGGGGATTTCGGTGGCGTGGGCTTGCTCGAGTTGCGTTTGCTTCGTGCTTGGTGCTCTTTGCTGGCGTTGCTGTCGTTGCGGTTGCGGTCGTTGCGGTTGCGGTCGTTGCGGTTGCGGTCGTTGCGGTTGCTGCCGTTGCGGTTCTTCTATGCGCAGTTGCTTCGTGCGTCTGCGTCCTGCTTGGTTGCCCTTGCGTCGTTGCTGAGTCGTCCTTGCTGCGTGTGGTGTGTTTGCCGTCGTTTCGACGTTCCTTGGTGCCGTTCCGTCTTTTGCGGTTGCGGGCAGGGTGGTGGTGGTGGTGGAATGTCAAAACGTCGTGTCCCGAAGCTGCTCGGCGAGCTCCCAGTTGTCCGCCGCTTCGCCCTGGCACCACTCAACCTGAGCACGAACAGGCGGGACAATGTGTTTATATGTTTGGAGATGTTTGAAACGCAAAGAGGAGGATAGATCGCAGCCTGCCCTTCCAGGTCCGCGATCTTCTTCAACAGCGGCCTCTGGAATCGCATCTTGAGCTTGTGCTTCGCCGCTTTGGCCTTGTCCTTTTTGACTCTGGCCTTGTACACGCGGTTGTTCTCGAGCTTGCGGTCGTACTGCTCCGTGCCGTGTTCGGGGTTGCCCATGGTTTCCCAGCGGGGCGCTGGCTAAGCGAAGCAACGGCCTTGAACACGCGTGTGCTGCACGAAACAAAAAATGAGAAGGAGAACGAGTGAAGAAGGAGGAAGAGGAGGAGGAGAAGGAGGGGGAGGTGGACAATGGGGAGGAGGAAGAGGAGGAGGAGGAGGAGGAGGAGGAGGAGGAGGAGGAGGAGGAGGAGGAGGAGGACGAGGAGCAGGAGGAGGAGGAGGAAGAGGAGGAGGAAGCGGAGGGGGAAGAGGAGAGGGAGAAGGGGGAGGAGGAGGAGAGGACGAGGAGGAGGAGGAGGAGGAGGGGAGGGGGAGGGAGCAGGAGGAGGAGGAGGAGGGGAAGGAAGAGGGGGGGGAGGAGGAGGAGGAAGAGGAGGAGGAGCAGGAGGAGGAGGAGAGAGAGAGAGGGACATCAGGAACATGAGGAGGACGCAGAAATTGGATGCAGAGGTTGAGGAATAGAAATGGGTTGCAACCGATTGTAACGCGGTCGCTTGGATTGAAATGCGCCGCGAAAGATGGAGCTGATCCCTAAGCTTGCATTCCATTGAGCTGCATCCGTTTGGATTGCAATCAAATGGGTTTCGACTGCCAGCGCATCAACACATCATGAAGAAGAGCATGATGAGGGAAAGGCGAGGAACACTGGAGAGATGAAAGGAGAATGTGTATGATCATGTGTGTGTGTGTGTGTGTGTGTGTGTGTGTGTGTGTGTGTGGGGGGGGGCGAGCGTATATGTATATGTATATGTCTGTATGTATGTATGTATGTATGTATGTATGTATGTATGTATGTATGTATGTATATATGTATGTATGTATGTATGTATGTATGTATGTATGTATATATATATGTGTGTATATATATATATATATATCTATATATATATATATATATATAGATCGGTAGGTGCCCATACACATATATATATATATATATATATATATATACATATACAAGATTTTACCGCCTCGCTTCGCTTCGCCTTTAAAATCTTGGTCGCATGGCGCCAGAGAGGCGCGATGGGACCGGCAGTCGTCACTGCCGCGGTGCGATTCGGGAAGTGGTCATGGGTGTCAAAGGACTCATTGGAATTGTAGGGCTCCTGGGGTTCCGTGAGGTCATCGGCTCTTGGGAATCATCGGGCTCGTAAGGTCCGAGAGGCTCAGAAGGCTTATAGGGCTCATTGGGTCTCATGGGGCTACAGGGATCGCAGGGCTCGTCAGGCTCACAGGGGTCGTAGGGCTCATATGGCTCACAGGGCTCCAGTGCTCATAGGGCTCATGGGGCTCATGGTCCCATAGGGCTCGTAGGGCTCGCAGGGCTTCTGGGGCTCATAGGGCGCACAGGGCTCACAGGGCTCACAGGGCTCGTTGGGCTCGTAGGTCTCATGGTGCCCGCGGGGCTCATAGTGCTCATAGGGCTCCTGGAGCTCGTAGGGCTCATAGGACTCATGCGGCCCGTAGGGCTCATAGGGCTCATCAGGCTCACGAGGCCCATGCGTAGGGTGCGTGC